TAAATAAATAAATAAATAAGATGTCCTATTGATCTATGAATCATTATCCAAAGTTTCTGCAGAAATAGCTGCCCTTCTCCAGATCACTGATGAAAGCATAAAGCATGGGGATTTGCAGATAGCCACACTATATAGATTAGGTACAACCGAAAGGATCTGAAAAATTTGGGACAAAGTTAATCAACCTTGCAATATACCAGCATATACCTATCAAAGCAGACAACACAAGATAATGTGACCTGGAAAGACCACACAGAAATTATGATTCTACATTAACCATTGCAAGCCTGAGCAAACAGCCATGAAAAAATTCTCAGGCACATCAACAGAAACTATCTGCTCAACAAACAGTAAAGCAGAAGATATAGCAACAAACATTAAGTTTTAAAAGGCTATTCAGGATGCTGTTTATATTACAGCTGTATACTGTTCTCTTCTTCATTAAAGAGTTCACTTCAGGTAAAACCCAATTATCGCTTAAAAAAATATATGGGGAGAGGGGGGGTCTTGATTACTGAGGTTGAAAAAAAAAAATCTTTTTAAAGATAAATCAGGGAACATACTATAGGAAAATGTTATAGGTAGCATTCTCAGGGCATCCCTGAAGCAAAATAGATTTAAATTCTATCTCAGTTTTCCCTGAATTCTCAAACAGAAAAAAAGCACCTTCTATTGTGACATCAAATTAAGTTTTTCTTAATATTAAATTCATTTTTTTTTCATCCTGTAATTTTACCAAGTTTACCAATACAGGGCTGCTAAGCAGAAAAGACCAGCAAAAACAAAAGACTAAGGCTAAATGGAATTTTTCCACAGCAGACAGCCAAGAGACAATCAATTCCTATAGGCTAAGTACATTATCTGGAGGATGACACTAAAACTACCATCAACAAAGCAGATAACATAAGGTTTTATATAGGCATTCTGAAAAGCTTTTTTTTTTTTTTTGTAGTTTATAAAGGCTTATGTAGTTTATAAAAGGCTTATGGAAACATCAGTATTTCTACCATTCTTGGTACAGCATTCAATAATCCTCCAACCCTCCAAATTTACCCTTGTAACAGTGTGGGGCTTGTTTTCCTCTGGTATTGTTATAATTCCAATAATATCCATTCCTATTTCTCCCAGATTCTTTAGCTACATTCTGTATAACTACAGAAATCCTACAACAGCAAGACTAAGGAAAACAACAACATTCTTTCTAACAGAAGAAGGAAATTTCTATCCCTATGACAATAAATAAGATAATATATACAGGCCAAATTCCTTCTCTACTGGAACTACTAGTTGGCTATCATTTTTAAATTCAGTGCTAAATAACAGAAAAAACTTACAGCTAACTAAGTATTCTGAGAAACATCACATCTTTGTGCATAATATTTGACACTGAGGAAAGGCACAGACCTACTCCACTCATGTACTGTGCATACAGAGTCATAAGTTTTTCTATTCAGTCAGGCAGTCCCCAGCCACTGGATGCATTTTGGATAATGCAACTTACTCAGCTTCATCTGATTGGGGGGGGGGACACGGACGGACTCAAAAACCCCAAATTATTGACTTACCTCTTAGCAAAATAACTCCCATTTATAATCCCAAACAAACATTTTCAGGAACTAAGTAACTTACCCAAGTTTCAGCATGTTGATCATATCAAAGTTGACTACATCAAACACCTTCATTGCTTTGTCATCTCCAACTGAACAGAATAACGCTCCCTCTGAACTAACAGCAATACTCTCAATAACACCTATTAAAAAAGTTAACATGCTATCAAGACACAAGAAAGGGACATCTTTCTTTTCAATATTCCACAGGAAAAAACCTACAGAGGTTTAAACCTGTTTCTCAGCTGCTTCTCCACCTTTTTGACATAAACTACCTGACTAATAAAAAAAAACACAAACAAAAATAATCCTCACAAAACAACACTTTGTCTTATCAGACAACACAGATGTTAGCATCATGTACATGACAATGAACTCTTTACCATATACATAAATGAAAGATTATAACTGCAATTCTTTTCATTTAAAGTGTTCATTTAAAAAAACCTGAGAACAACATTATGATATGGTGAAAAATTATGTGCTCTTCACCTTGCATCTCAAAACAGAAAAAGAAGCAGAACTCTATAGTCTATTACAGTCCTGCTATTAACACACATAATACTCAAAACTACTCTGCAATTGAGCCTTCCATAAGTTTTTCACAATACTTATTTTTTCTTGGTAGGCTTTGTTCTCACATTTTGTTTCTGTATATAATGAGAAGCTAAAGAACCCACCATAACATTTTTTTCTAACTCTAAAAAGAAACAGTACTTTTACTATCTATTATTACATATTTTTCTTATTGTAACATGTATCTGCATCTCAAACTGCTTTTTTCCCATCAGGCATATCATCACTTCTAATAGCAATGAGAACCTTGTTTTCTGTGCAGCCTATTTAAAGCTTAGCATAGTACAGAAGAGCTGTGTGTATTTAACTCAGAAAATTGGGTTAAAATTATTAATTCTTAATTGCAATTCAGCTGATAATCATGACAATGATGTAGAATTTACTCTACAGCTGCAATAATTCTAGATGAAAATAACCATTTTTTTTTCCATCCTGCAGGGGGAAAAAAGAAAAAGATAAGGTGTTGTGGTTTAAGCCCAGCCGGTAACTGAACACCACGCAGCCGCTCACCCACTCCCCCCCACCCAGTGGGATTGGGGAAAGAATCGGGAAAAAGACAAGTAAAACTCGTGGGTTGAGATAAGAATAGTTTAATAGAACAGAAAGGAAGAAGCCAATAATGGTAATAATAAAATTAATAAAATGACAATACTACTAATAAAAAGACTAGAATATACAAAACGAGTGATGCCCAGGGCAATTGCTCACCACTCGCCAGCCAATGCCCAGTTAGTTCCCAAGTGGTGATCCCCATCAGGCGAACTCCCCCAGCTTATACACTGGACACGGTATCATGTGGGATGGAATACCCCTTTGGCCAGTTTGGGTCAGCTGCCCTGGCTGTGTCCCCTCCCAACTTCTTGTGCCCCCCCAGCCTTCTTGCTGGCTGGGCATGAGAAGCTGAAAAATCCTTGACTTAGAATAAACACTACTTGGCAACAACTGAAAACATCAGTGTGTTACCAACATTCTTCTCATACTGAACCCAAAACACAACACCATACCAGCTACTAGAAAGAAAATTAACTCTATCCCAGCTGAAACCAGGACATAAGGGATGAAGGTAACCTTATGTTAAGTCACATCTTTTTAAACTTCTGTGGATTTTATGTACCTTGTTCACTTATTTTTAAATAGACAGTTTCTTCATGTCCTAGATGTTCTCCCCACAGGTAGGGCACAAGGCAATGCAAAGGATGCAGGGGATCTGTGCAGGAGAAGTCCTACGTTTTATTCTCACCCTATCCCTCCTGCAGTTTGGGAGCAAAACGCAACAGGACAGGGGAATGAAGGAAGACAGGCAGATGTCATTTAATCCCTGACTGCAGTAAATGAATTCCAGAACGCCTCTCCTCTTTATTTGCACTCCCTCTTCAAACAACTACGAGCAAAGGGGAGGAAAAAGCGACGTTCTTTAGAGAAGAAAAAGCAACTTCTTACCTAGGTGACTCCGGAAGTGTTTAACAAACTCAATCCCTTCTTCTATTTTTTTCCAGAATTTTACATGTCCATCGTGACTGGCTGTTATAATAAAATCTGTCCTACAATTACAAAAGAAAAATAACAGAGAAAAAAAAAAAAAGATACACACATTATGCTCTTTCACAGCAGGAAGTAATTTGCACTGTAATTAACGCTGTGCAGAGAATGAATTGTAAACATATATTGTGGGAGCAGCTCAGAACACCTGGCTTTTTTTTTCAAGAGTGAACCGTTAGAATTTGTTGTGCTGCCTGTTTGCCAAGCCTTTGAAGAACTAGTTTTACAAGGTCAGGTCGGAGGATGGCCCAGTGTATGCCTGGGAAGATGTGGCTGAAGACAATCATGAGTATGTGTATGGAATGTTTTTGTCTTTAACTGTTCTGAGGACTGGCAAACATCCCAGCTGAGCCAGACATGCGCTCCTGTGTTAGTAGTATTGGCTGTATGCCATTAGTTCTTTCTAGATCTTTGTTGAAACATATATAAGTTTGATCCTTTAGTGAAATAAACGGAATCTTGTACAGATAGCTTGAGCACTTAATTCAGTCGCCGCATATATTGCACATTGCAATAAGGATTTTAAGATCCTCTTTTAGTCTATTTAAACAATTTTTATCTCACTTCTTTCCTTTGCACTTAGTTTTCTGGACACAGTAACTTTCCATTATTAAACTTTTACAGTGGAAACCTCCTACCATATACAAAAATACATCTCTGACAATGAGATACAGTAGAAAAAAAAAAAGACACTTACTTAGTACATGCTACATGTGTAATGACATCTCTGTGCATGTAACTGCGTTCATACATTGAAGCACACGGTAGATTTTCAAGGTAGACGTGTTCAAATTCAAGAACTAAACAGAATAAAAAGAAAAAACAGGAACTTTTTTTTTCTCATAAAGGTACATCTAGCTTCTGTTCTCCCTTACGCTTGAATAGTTTACTCCCATTTTGGTCAAGACTACACTAGGATTTTGTGCAAACCTAATGAAGGAGGTTTCCAGTGTGGCTTTGTACTCAGAGATTCGCGGCAGACTAAAGCCACCCAAACTCTGCCATAACCCATAAAGATGCCCCGTTTTAAAGCAACTGTTACCGTGGCTCTGACTGCATAGAAAAAAATTCAACACAACACTTTTTAAAGTTACTGCCAGAAACCAGATCACCCACACCTCACTTTCTTCCAAAACCAAATGCATCCCTATTGCTGTTCAGAGATTCAAGGTCCCACGCAGGTACCGTGGCTTAAATTCTCGGTGCTAGCACCTACCTAGTTCGTTGTTTAACTGGGCCACCTAAAATAATCTGATTTTCTACTTTTGCCTCCGACTTCTACATCCTAACCGTTAACACCCGCGCGGTGCCATCTGTCACGGAACCGCATCTGTTGAACGCCCTCAAACTCACGTTTACGTTACGACGACACCCAGAGCGCCGCGAGGTGCCGGAGGCGTAAAGGCCGTGTGTCAAAGCACGGCCCGCAGCCTGCTCCTGCTCCCGCGGCCCGGGGCAGCGATGCCGGCGCAGAGACCCCGCCGCCGCGGGCGGCACGGCTCCAGCCGTGCGGGCGCCGCAAAGCGGGGCCTCCCGGCCGGCCTCCTCCGGGAGAAGGAGCAGAAGAAACACGGCGTGCCCGGCCTACGCCTC